GCCAATTAGCTATGTTTAGTTATAGTTCACGGGTTTTTGCCACCCCAAACACATTCCGCTGTCTGGGGGTCTCTTATGAGTCGCGCTACTTAAAAATATGGAATATTGACATGCCTTCCCCCACAAGAGAAGTATGTTTGTTTTTCAGAGCGAAAACTTTACAGTTTTCTTATCATTGCCAGTCCCCACATAGCAGACCTATATACATTGCATATACCATGTACATACATTCCACGTGGAATATTGTATATCCATAGAATGTGGAAAAGTATGTCGCAAATGTCCGATGTATGCGCATGGGATATAAGTTTGGCAGACTTCACATAATACATAGTTTATACGTTTTGGATGTCTTATGTATATGCATGTATATGCATCAGACATGCTATGTATATTGGTATACTGACAACTGGATATATCATGAATATTCCTGTAATATGCAAAAGATGTTCAATAGGATATTCTATGTATGTTGTATACATTCAGAATGGATGCTCTATAGAGATTCCTCTAACATTCGGGAAGTTTACTAGCGTCCATACCAGAGCTGGGCAGTATTCGATTTTGTAAATACTTTTTAGTATTCAAATCCTTTAAAGTATTCAAATACTTTGTAATTAAATACTTTTATGGAAGCAGTATTTGTATTTGTAACTCAAATACTTTCACAAATATTTAGTCAATTTCGAAAGAAAATTCAAAGGGCTGTAACTTTTGAACTAGTAGCCCAATCTTGGAACTGTTTGAAATTATTACTTTTACTCCCCTTAAATTTGTATATAACAATAGAAATATAAAAAAAGCTAACCCCATACAAAGTATAACTTGATTTTTTGAGTAGTATTAAGACTTTTATCTAGTATACTATTTTAAATTTTTAATGTATTTGAGTGACAAGTATTTGAATACTTTTTACTGTATTCGAATACCTTTGAAAGTATTCGAATACATTCTAAAGTATTTGAATACTTATTTTTTAAAGTATTTGAATACTTTTCAATGTATCTGTATCTAGTATTCGCTTGTGCTGAACGTAAAAGTATTTAGTATTCAAATACCTTTGATTTGTGTAAAGTATTTACTATTTAGTATTCAAATACTTTTTGAAAGTATTCTGCCCAGCTCTGGTCTATACCTTCATAAATAAATTCTTTTCACGGAGTGGAGCTTTTTGTTTATTAAGTCTCTTAGTGTACAATGGAAAATGAGTAATACAGAACACGCATGTATCAAATTCAAAACGCATATACATAACATATAATCTCATGTATATACATAGCACATCCAAAATGTATATTTATACAATATCCATACTGAACATAAAATACATATGCCTATCCTATAATGAATATACATAGTATATACATAAGATGGACAGGATATTCCCTGTACATTATGGATTTAAAATGTATATACATAAGATATCGAATGCTATGTGGGTTAAAACCTTAGAAAAACGTTCAAGCTTCTCGAAGGGCTATCCGGAACTGTAACCAGAGCTCAAACCTTTTTCAAAAAAAATAGTCCCAAGCATTTCCTTGGTACTTGGATCTTTTGATTATCAGGTTTGCCCCAGTCATTAGAAAACCTTAGCTTGGTATCAAATTGACTCGAGAAGCCCTTTGGCGCGTTCTCTAAAGAACAGAAGGGGCTCGATCGTCTATGATTTGTTTCTGTTTTACCGGCGGACCTTTTTTCTATGAACTTTTTTCTCTAGACTTTTTTTATTAGCACAAAAAAGTGCGGTAAGGAGAAATGATTATCACGCGGGGAAAATTTTACAGTTTGTGTTAATTGGGAAATTCAAAGTTTTTTACGTCAATATTTTGATACCGCTAAAATTAGCACTCCCAAAAACATTAATTTTCAGAACTCTAATTACAATTGCGAAATTGACAGTTCTGTGGCACTGTAGCGTTTTCAGTACCTGTAATTAATCAATTAACCCCATTACCGAGCACGGTTTAGATTTAAAATTAGCCCCCAGTTAGAGTTACAGCAATCATTTATTCATGCATTATTGATTGTAATTCAAGTTAATATACTTCGAAAACTAGTAAAGAAAATCACACAATGCGACATTGACAAAACTGCGAAGTTGCTGCCAGAAGTTGGCAATTTGTCTGAAAAACATGCTACAGCGGTAAATAATGAACGAGCTAACATCGTAATGTAATTCAAACATTGATCAATTGAAGGGGGTGAGATGGAACTAATCCAAGTCTCAAAGCCTTACGTTATTCAATAGAAAATAAAATACTTCTGAAATCGATATCTAAAGCGTCTTCATATATTTATGGAATTTATGAAGCGTACCAAACTGATCGGTTTTTTCAATGATGGAATTAAAAAGTTTTTCTTTTCTATGAGTGACTCCTCGCCGCAAACTTTCTTTTTGCTCTATCGATTAAATCATTTTTCAACGCGATTACGATCCTGGCCCTTTTGAAGTGGTCGGTGGAAATGGGGGAGCTTTTGATCCAATAAACTTCAAAAAGTTGTGTAAACCCTCTAGAGAGTTGACATAAAAAAACAAATTTTCTTTGTATAATCACGAGTTACGAATATTCTAGAAATCCTCATAGACTTCGAAGGCGCCCTTGTAGAAAAAATGTTATTCGTGTTGCGAGTCAGTTCCAGCTTCGATGCGCTTGTGTTATGTTATAAATTGTAAGTGATAAAGAGTAACTACAATAAAACCATTTTACGTTACAATATTATTATGGTTCGTCACTTCAATAATTACATTCAGTTACCCCATGTGCATTTTAGGATCAATATATTCACATGCACACAAGCTTTGTGGTAGCGACAATCTTTCTGTATCGAATTTCCTAACACGCGATCCAGGCACTTTTCATTTTATATCTTATTCCGCCACAAATGGGCTTAGACCAATTATTACTTTGAAACTTTGCACGGGCTACGTGGAAATGCTGTATTATTTATACACAAACTCTAAGCAGCTACTTTCCTACTTGCAACAACTTCTAAGGAAAAGAAAAGAAAATGTATCAGAGCAATATGATCATTATTAGTTCATTACACTCTTGCAACTACGGAAAATAAAGTTTTCATAGGAATATACTTTCAAATTGGCCCTCTAGCGTTTTACAAATTTTGTTCCAGTTGCAGCTACGACTATCTGGAAATTCTGGAGAACCTCGCGAATTCGTCAACCTTGAATAGTTCGGAATCAGGTCGGCGTCTTTGCGGCGATTGGAGTTCAAAATTAAAATTACTACGATACGTTAGTAGGGGATCGAAACTAAAAGTCAGATTTAGTTCGGATTATTCGCATCATTTCGGAGGATTTAAGGCTCGCGTCTCAATGGAAAACGGTAAGTTAGTTCTTTATTTGTTGCAAGTTTTAAGTTTACCTACTTTCGACGTGTGGGTAGTGCGAGCGCAAATATACGGGGGTTCGCATTGCCCGCAAACTGATCAATTGCATTTGTTTAAATGTGTTATATTTTGTTGCACTTTTTGAGATAGTAGCACTCACCACCTACCAACGTGGTAAGTCATAGAGATATGAGCACAAAGTCACCGTAGCCATTAGTTTTAGTGCATGCGGGCCCTTAAGCTTATTTTAGATTGTGTACCAAATTAAATTGACCTTGACATTCTCCCTATTAAATTAAATTTGTTTCTAGTTCACCCCTGATTGTGTGCGGACTCAAATAGGTTTAAGGGGCAGTTTACTTGCAAAAGTTATTATTGAAGGGTATTTTACCTTGTTAAGCAGAGTGGTGAATAACATTGTCAGAAACTCTATCGATCCCTTAAAAAAAAGCTTATAAGTTCTTTATTAAGCCAAGAAGATTTTCGAAAAACTGTCAAATTTTGAGCAAAAAGGTTATAACAGCGAAATCGTTAAAGTTAGGGGTGTAACCTCGGGTATAACATGATAGATAAAAAAAATAAGTATTTTTCAAGTACTTTCGGTACAAATCGGTAATGAAATATGAGGTGTTCTATTTTAAAAAAACGGAAGTTTGATACGCCACTGGAATACAGCAAGCCCCTGGTGTTCAAAAATATTTTTAAAACAGTAATTAAGTGGTGTATCAAAAATAAACTGAAACTAAATATCTATAATAATAAATAATAATAATAATAATATTTATTACTGTTAACATGCCAATAAAACATTTACAGAAGTCAAAGGAAACAACACAACATTTATACATTAATGTTAAATTACACATAAATCACAGTCTTTAAATTCATTAATAGTATAAAATGCGCCTTCAGTAAGGAATTTTTTTAATTTAGTTTTCAGGGCATCGTACGGTAAATCCCTGGTCTGGCTAGGCAGCAGGTTAAAAAGCTCAAACGAAATATTTACAAAACTTCTGTGAGTTTTTTCTAATCGGTAATACTTTAGATCAAGATTACTGCAATTTCGTGTATTATAACTAGATATGTATATAGGACCTTACACAAAGTTCATTGGCACGAATCTTAGCATATAGAATACAGTGTAGTATAAATATGCAAGGAAATGTCAACAATCTGAATCTAATAAACACATTTTTGCAATCTTCTCTATACTGCAGATTGCCTATAATTCTAATGGCACGACGTTGGAGAGCAAATATTCGGGTTGCACTTGTACATTTACCCCAAACAATGTTACAGTAATATAACTGAATCACTGATAAATAGACCATACGTAAAATATTAGGGGAAACGTTTTCAGATAAACGCCTTAAGAGAAATATGTTACCGGAAATTGTTTTGGCTACTTTACTAACATGTTCCTTAAACGTTAATTTTGGATCAATGTTAACACCTAAAAAATTAGCATAACAAGGATTATGGAAATCATTTTGTTTGAGGGTGGTTTTAGCATTTGTACCGTTTTACTAGAATTTAATCTTAGTCCATTTGATAAACACCAATTTTCAGTTAATTGAATTGCTCTACCCGCCTCTTCATAAACCCTATTTAAATTCTGGTCCGATATTAGCAGAGTTGTATCATCCGCGTACTGAAGGCATGTAACAGTGTTAAGTGGAACGAAAAATCGTTAATAAATATTAAAAATAATAGAGGTCCCAGAATGGAACCTTGCGGCACGCCTCTTTGAAGCTTGAGAAACTTGGATGTATCACCATCAACCTTTACAGCTTGCATTCTATCGCTCAAATATGATTTGATCAATGCTACACTAGATGTCTCAACTTTGTACAACTCTTGCAATTTCGTAATTAATATTTCGTGCACCACACTGTCAAAAGCACGAGTTAAGTCGATAAAAATGGCCATAGAGTGCTCACTTTCTTCGAAACACCTCAGAGAGTAATTAACGAAATGAATCGCCGCATCAGCAGTGCTTCTATTTTTCCTAAATCCAAACTGATTTCCAATAAACAAATGATTCTCTTCAAAATGCTTCGAAACTTGTGTATATAAAACCATTTCGAAGACTTTTGAGAATATTGGTAAAATAGAAATGGCTGGATAGTTTTCGGGTTTGGTATGATCACCTTTCTTATACAATGGGGTAACCAAAGCAAATTTAAGTGTAAAGTCCTAACTTTTATTAGATCGAAAAATCCCCTACTTTTTGACTATAACATGAATGGAAAGGTCTTACTAAGAGTCACCTCCGTTAAGGACCTGGGCGTGTTTTTCAATACCAACCTTAACTTCAACTTACACTGAATACCTAACAAATGAGTGTTACAAACTTCTTGGTTTCGTTATCAGAAATTTCACGAATATACACACAATGCTAATCTTATAAAACGCGTTTATTAGATCCAAGCTTGAGTATGCTGCATGTATCTGGTCTCCTCAAACTCTCAAATACTCAGACATGATCGAAAAAGTGCAGAAAAAGTTCATCCGAGTAATGTTTTTAGGTCAACCCACAATTATGCACATTTGATCTCTTACGGTACCCAGCTTAATTACTTAAATTGTACTTTCGGCTTAAATATAACGAGGTTAGAAACCCGACGGTGCATTTCCGCCACAATATTTGTCTTCCAAATTTTACACAATTTGTTAAACTCTTCCGAATTACTTCAAAAAACTAAGCTTAAAGTACAATTTGTTAAGCTAAGGAAAAATAATACTATTTTTGCAGTAAGCAACACAACTTTCCCACTTATTAAGATCTTGATCACTCTAAATAAGTTCTCCTCAGTGAATGATATCGACTTTTTTCACGATCCCCTAAATGCAATAATAAATCAAGTTAGATCTAATTAATTAATTAATATTAATTAGTCCTAATGTGTTTGTTCAGGGCCCCAGTGCCATGTAATTGGAATTTTTATTCTGTATGGTGTCTGGTTAAACAAATAAATAAATAAATAAAAATATGGCGACGGTAAATGTGTACAATTTTGCTCTAGGAATTTTTTCGGGATCTTTTATGGTAAAGGAATTATGATCCAAGGGGTCTACACCTTGTATAAAGAGAAGCTACTTACTCTCTATACTATATATGAACATTAGTGAATTATAAACTTACGCCTAATTAAATTCAAGAATTAATATTCACTTTTGATTGTTTCTATATTTAACTAATTTACTATTTAACTAGCTATTATTATTAACTTTGTCTGTTGATGCGTCGGATCGTAAGGGATATTCGGCATTTTTCCGAATCTTAGTTCCTAAGGGGTTTAGTCAGGGGCGGACTGGCCCGGGGAGGGGGGGGGGCGATTACCATCTGGCCTGTAGGTCATAATAGCCCGTTGGAAACTTATAAGTATGTGCTGTATTAGACAGCATTAATGTAAGGTTTCTTGTCTATGAATAAATTATTAACACGTTTCTCTCATTGGGGTGGAAGTTAGGTTGATCATTATATGTCAAACTCATTTATCATCAAGGGTTATTTTAAGGTTTCCACTCATAGCTGTGGGCCACATCAACAATTTTGATTTTTTATTATTAACAAGTATACATAATGATACAAAAAAGGAAAAAATACAAATAATCATAAAATCATTAATACGCGCTCAGGAGAATGTAGTGTGTGTCCTATTTTGATTGAGACTGCAGTCCCAATTACTACAAAGTACTATTTAAGTAATTAAGCTGGGTACCGTAAGGGATCAAATGTGGATAATTTTAAAAATCATTACTCGGATGAACTTTTTCTGCACTTTTTCGATCATGTCTGAGTATTTGAGAGTTTGAGGAGACCAGATACATGCAGCATACTCAAGCTTGGATCTAATAAACGCATTATATAAGGTTAGCATTGTCTGTATATTCGTGAAATTGAGTGTATTTCTGATAACGAAACCAAGAAGTTTGTAACACTCATTTGTTAGGTATTCAATGTGTAAGTTGAAGTTAAGGCTGGTATTGAAAAACACACCCAGGTCCTTAACGGAGGTGACTCTTAGTAAGACCTTTCAATTCATCTTATAGTCAAAAAGTAAAGGATTTTTTGATCTAGTAAAAGTTAGGATTTTACACTTATCGATATTCAGTTTCAGTTTATTTTTAATACACCACTTAATCACTGAGTTAATGTCCTCTTGAATATTTAAACAGTCACTTGTGGATTGGACTTTATTAAAAACTCAGGGTAAATCATTTATGTATAAGAGAAATCTTTAAATTCAATTCTTTGTGGTGGATTATAAAGTATGATTTTAAAGTTAACTTCATGTTTGTTATATTTTTTATTATACATTTTTTTAAATCTCGTGATATCTATAAAATTGAATAAATCATCATTCATTGCTAAAGAATGTATTTCATTTGTGTCGTTTATTAGATTTACATCATTTATTGCATTTATATCGTTTATCAAGTTTCTCCATGGCAATTTCTAAGTTTTGCTCTAGATTATCACTTGGCAAAATGATTTTAATACGACAATTATTACTCTTATTTTAGTTATACTGAATCAAGACTTGTTTAGTGTTGGATATACAGAGTGGCCCAACGAGAAGTATACAGAGGGCTTTTAGGGTATTAAATTTAGAAATTTCGAAAAATCCTCGAACACGTCAATTTTGTATTCGAGGGGGACAACTTTTTTAACGAACCCAAGTCTTCACCCCTCTACGTAGGAAGCTTAACCCCTAAAATTTTAAATGGAATCCTATGGCAAATGGCACATTATTTGAAAGCCAATTTAATCGTGATTACTAATCTGCTTTGCTTTTTAAATTCTATTGATTCGTTTCGGAGGCATAATTATGGATTCTACAGGCCACATTCTATAAGAAAATTTTTTTCCGGGTCGATCTGAGACAATTTTTTTTCTTGCCTCCAAAAAAGGCAGTGTATAACCTTCCTTTTTAGCCAAAAATCGACTGCACCAAAATTTCTCGAGAAAACACTTTTTCTTATTAATTTGGGTGCGTAGAATCCAAAACAATTCGTACTTTTTCGATCAGACTTCTCAATCAAAGGTTATAGACTAGAAAAAAATTCAAAGGACTGTAACTTTTGAACTAGTAATCCAATCTTGGAACTGTTTGAAATGATCGATCTGAGACAATTTTTTCTTCGGGGCTCAAAAAAAGGCAGGCTGGTTTTAACTTAATGGAGTAATGGAAGATTTTTTCTACATTATTAATGCAAGTGTTGCTTTGGAGAAACTGTACCGTGTAGTGTCTCTTCGTACCTCCTTTTCTAAGGTTTAAATTTATTTGCTCTACTCGCGCTTTTATATATCTAATAAAGTTCGGTATAAGGATTTTGTTAAACGAATATGACTATGTATTATCATTGAATAAAAACACTATTTTATTCAATGGTATTATGCATCTGTTTATGGCCCATTAAATAGTTCTTTGTAAAACTAGAGAAGTAAGTGGAGTTTTTCAACCCGAGTTGAAAATGTTTTTTGATATTTTTTACAAAGACCGACGCACTGTTTGCAGGACCCTCAATTCCCAATTTCACTCGAAAAATTGAACAAAATATCCAAAGTAGGTACTTTGGTTGATTCCTTCAGATAACGTATACAGCTACTTCAGAAACATTTTTAAAATACTTAAATGATGTATCTCTGCAATGTTTTGCAAACTGGGCTAATTGTATTTGCCACAAATTCTGCAGAAATTAAAGCGCTAGAATTATTTTCATATGCGTGGAACTGTCAAAAAGTGACACACACGTGTACGTACCATCCCCAAAAATTAGATCCTTTGGATAATCGAGCAGACAAAACCACTTTTCCCCGACGCTCAGTGTTTCGCTGCGAATTAACGAGTTTGAACAATGCATCCATCACTGCCAGGACTACTATTACATAATTAGCTTAAGAATTCCCGTGCTCGCGAAGACGTAATGTAATTGTGGCGGCGTGATGAAATTAATTACTTCAAGTGTAAGATAATTAAATAAAACGGAAGCCTCGTATACTTTTTCATTATTGAAAATGGAAAATGTTTTCATCCGTTTCTATAGCCGTAAGCGGACGTTTAGTATTCATTTGTTAAATACGCTTTGATGAGTACGTGGGGCTTGGCTTCAATGCGTATCGATTTATTCGCTGTAATTTGTGTATGCATAGTTGCATGTGTTTTGTACTAAAGTATGTAAATTGTTGCCGTTAGTGCATTTTGCTAACTCCACCGTTGATAATTTAACATTTTGTGCCATTATGGGAGAGATTCTGTACATGAAAAGTGTCTGAACGCCCTTAAATGTAGATGTAATTTGTTGCACCTTTAAGAAGTTCTCATAGTACCTTTCAGCTCGTGCTTTCTTCTGATTGTGTGTAGCCGCTGACATAATTAATGTCACATGAGTCATTAATTATGTCCGTGACTGTACAATATCACAAAATTACTAAAGTGAATGTTCGTTGCAGTAATGCAGTGTTCCGACGATCGCCTTCAAATGTTCAACAACTCATGCTACCTCTTCGTCAGTTACCCTGAGGTGACATGGTCGACCGCCCAGCAAATCTGCATGGGAATCAAGGGCCAACTCACGTCAGTTTTGACACCCGAAGAGGAGAACTTTATCAGCGCGAACATACGAAAGAATCCCGAATATCGGACGAGCGCGATCTATTGGTTCGGCGCGCGATCTGGAAGTAACGGTAAATTTCACTGGGTCGACGGAAACGCTATGAGTTACTCCGGCTGGCTTCCGAACTACGCGCCGGAAGAGACGAACGCCTTGATCAATCCGATGTGCTTGGGCGTGCGGTGGATGCCGACGCCGACCAGCTCGCTTCCGAGTGGGTTGTATTGGAATACAATTAAGTGCGACGCGGTCGGCGGATACGTGTGCAAGCGGCCCAATCAGATGCTCGGTTTCGGAATTAATTTTAACAGAACTGTGAACGGAACCGAGGGGCAGTTGACTACGCCGAACTATCCGGAGTATTACTACAACAACTTGGATTTTTTCATTAGAATTGTCGGCCCGGAGAGGACACGCATCGTGATACGTTTCCAGAAATTAAACATGGAGTCGCAGCTCGAATGTTTGTACGATTACGTTGAGGTGAAGAGTAAGAATGAGGAGAGCAGCGTGAAATGGTGCGGAAACCACGACGCCGATATGCACAGATTTGACTTTGTATCCGACGATCACGAGGCCATAGTCCACTTTCACTCCGATTACTCCATATCTGGAAGCGGATTTCTTCTCCATTGGTACGCCGTCGATGTGTCTTCGTGCCCGGCTCAGACTCTCACCGCCAAAGAAGGCGTGCTTGTCAGTCCCAACTATCCGCTGTTTCTACTGCCACACTTGGATTGCTCAATCACAATCCTAGCACCTAGCGGAAGGCGAGTTTGGTTAGAATTTAAAGAGTATAGCATCGGCACATCTTCCAATCAAGATAAGAATGACGGGGGAGGTAATTTGTTGGAGGTAAAATTGGGTAGCCAGGTGCCCGGATTTCAGCCGTTCCAAAACAATGAGCTAGTTAGCGAAGGTTCGTTTATGTCGACCACCGAAAAGCTTCAGATTGCGCTTAAAACCGACGGTAATCCCCACGGAAACGGCTTTAAGGCGATTTACAAGATTGTAAGCGATTCGGAAACGGAAAAAGTACACGAGCTGAAGAACGACAGCGTGGGAGTATTAATGCATCTGAACTACCCGCACGCTCCATTGCCACATGTCAATTTCATCCAGCACTTTGTCGCCCCTTTAGGGTACATAATATCTTTGGAAATTCACCATGTGAGATTAAGCGATGGGGAGTGCTCGTCGAACATGGGAGTAATAGAAATTTACGACAATTACGCCGATAACGGAACGCATTGGTTCCTGTGCGATAAAGAGAACGAAAACGGACTGGTCCCACACGCTCCGATCGCAATATCGTCGTATCTCAACACGTTATCGGTAAGGCAAAAAAGTGCGAGTGTTGGTGTCGCATTGAACGCATCGCTCAGGGTGAGATTCGACGAAGACTTCAAGATTAAACTGCTTAGTTTCAAGGAGGATATGATGGAGTTTTGTAGTCGGAATCCATGTCTAAACGGAGGCAGGTGCATGGAGAAAGGCGATCAGCAGTTCTGCCAGTGCTTGGGATACTATACAGGTATTGTGTAGGTCTGCAAAGATCATACTGCACTAGATAGGCAACCTAATTATTATAGGGAGCTTTGGTTGAACGTAAGAGATTATCTCTTTCATGATAGTTTTCTTCTCGGGTCCGTGAAATGAATTAAGCTGTCATAATTTTGTGCTATTTTGTGCTGCTAATTTAAAATGTTGTGCTCATCAGATTAATGAGTAATTCAACTTTCTCTGATGGCATTCCAACTTCACACTGTAGTGTTCTGGAAGTTGTTTAAAAGTGGTCTTTCTGAATGCGAGCTTGGTGTTATGTTACTTGGGGTCCGTTAACTTGCCCCCCCCCCCTGAGAGATTTCATAGTCGTATTATTTTGAAATGAATGCGCTCGTTATGCGCTCATATGCGCCACCGATAATAACTCTTGCGCCATTATCGTTTTTTAGAAATCCGAAAAAACATTTGGGGAGGGGGGCCAAGTGAACGTAGCCCCCCCCCCAGTACGTATTTTGTCCCTTGTAACTAGGTCACCTGATACATTTGGTTATGCGCTCAATTGCGCCACTTGAATTAAAGCTAGCGCCATTACGGTTAAGCCGTGACAAATTTTCAAAAAGTGGGGGGGCCAACTTAACGTTTTTAAAAGTTACTTTTTTTTAACATCTTTTCATACGAAATTGTACTCTCAGGTATGCGCTGAAATGCGCCGTAAAAAGATATCTTTGCGCCATTATTGTTTTTTGGATATCCTTAAATATATTTGGGGGGGGGGGGGCAAGTGAACGGAATCCCCCATAACGCACTTTGCTACCGGTATTTGTGCTACTTGATACATCTGGTTATGAGCTCAATTGCGCCACTTGAATTAAAGCTAGCGCCATTACGGTTAAGCCATAAAAAATTTTTAAAAAGTGATCAGGTGACCTAGTTACAAGGGACAAAATACGTACTGGGGGGGGGGCTACGTTCACTTGGCCCCCCCCCCCAAATGTTTTTTCGGATTTCTAGAAAACGATAATGGCGCAAGAGTTATTATCGGTGGCGCATAACGAGCGCATTCATTTCAAAATAATACGACTATCAAATCTCTCAGTGGGGGGGCCAAGTTAACGGACCCTGTTACTTGTTACGTTGACTTTGAGCAAACGTAACAAATCAAACGTTACGTTAAAGAGTCGTTGAAAAATAAACGTATTGCCTTTTGAACCACAGTTTGTAGCATCCATTTCGAGATCAGAAAGGCGCTTTTCTGCCTTATCTGTAACAGATAACAACACAAACAAACGAACAAGAGGGATAGTGAATAGCGCGGCATATAAAATATTGCGGTAGCAATGTTTTACATCTGCCACTAATCGGGTAAATCGTATACTAAAACCATAAGCAATACTCAATAAAAATCAATAATAGTGACTTTACACTAGCAAAAGGAAAATTTTGACTGGACCACGGATCGTCCGTACAAATCGGTGTATAAAAGCATGAACGTGACGTTAACTCAAGAAAAACTACTATATTTCTATACAACAGCAATGTAATCCAATTCATTCAAAAAGTAAATAAGATAGTACGAACAAATTCTTCGGAGTGACACAAATAACGTAACTAAAAATCGTAGATAGCTGTTTCAAACTAATTTACAAGCCAACGGTAACTAATATCTTCGTATAACAAAGCTAATCTGAAGGATACAATGTAACCAAATTAACAAGAATTAATCTTCGGAGTAACAAAAGTAATCGTCGTAATGTAGATCGATCGGTAAGGTGAAATCTTCGGTAACGACAAAAGTAAAGTACGTAGGATTAGAAATATCGAGCGATTCACAAAGCTAATATTCTCCAACCAATTAGGTACGTCTCCAGGTGTAAATGTTCGAATTTTCGGCTCGGCCGATCAGGTGTAGGTAGATTTATTTCCGCCATTTTGTTCCAGTATGGCGGAAATGAACACGTCCGAGATATTTATGAGATGGTTAGAGTTTGGTCGAAATCGGTTGATAATTACGAAATAATGCACCGATTCTAAGGTCCTAAGGGAAGAAGTACAAGGAATGCGCATGCAGAAAAGAAAAGATCACGACCTCTAGCGGCGAATTAAAGAACTAAGGTATTAACAAATCTACTATAGAAATAACTGACTAAAATCGAAACTAAACGAGAATAGCTAGATGGCGTGAGACTGAGAATACTAAATTAAATTAGAGCGTTGAATGAGAAATATAAAGAGGAGTTCTTTTGAATTTTCTGAAGTTGATCGAGACCACCAAGTCTCTCAAATTGAGAAATTTTAAGTCAATATTAGGATTTTTCTTCTAGCAGATGCCAAATGTGTACGAGGAGGGAAACTTTAACTTAACAGAGCTATAAAATCGATTTGTACAGGGTGGCCAACTAAGAATGCGAGGTACTGTATCTGAGAATCTATCCATCGTAGAGGCTTGCGGTAAAAAAATTTATTACTAAAAGGGCCACGAGCAAAACCTGGAAAATATTTTTAAGTTTCTGAAATGGCCGCTAGGGGGCGTAACTGCAATCTGGAATCTAAAAAAGTGATGTTTCTATGAATTCCGCTATATTAACCTAACAAAAAAATTTCCGGTCTTTGAAGTTGACGATAATCTGAACAATTTTTGTTTGACAATTTTTCCTGTATCTCTAAAAATGAAGTGGTGGGGGGTATTTAAAGGTTTCCGTAAAGAACACTCTGTATCTTCGAAACGGCTGATCCGATTTAAACAAACTTGGGTTAGTTCAAAAGAGCTATTCTTCAGCTACAACTATTATACTATTTGAAGTTTTGTTAGTTTCACATATCACCGCTTGAGGGCTTTTTTCGACATTCCGACAGAAATGGTTAATTTTCTCAAAAAAATTAAATGCGTTGGTTTGATTTTTTTTTTCATGAAAAAGTAGCTAAATGACGCCTAAACAAGTTCGCGAAAACAGCATCTCGATATCTTGAGATATATATATTTTTATATCGTGATGGCCGGCATTTCGAGCATTTACGGCGGCATTAAAAGCTTCCTTTTTAAATCGATCCACCTTAGGGCAACAAATTATATAAGAAAAGTAATTCCGGAAAAATTAGCTTAAAAAAATAAAATTTTGAGGGTATAAAATTTTCTTTGGCCTAAATTTTACGTTAGGAACAAGTTATCGAGATGCGCTTTTCGCGAGCTTGTTTAGGCATCATTTAGCTACTTTTTCATGAAAAAAAAATCAAACCAACGCATTTAATTTTTTTGAGAAAATTAACCATTTCTGTCGGAATGTCGAAAAAAGCCCTCAAGCGGCGATATGTGAAACTAACAAAACTTCAAATATTATAATATTTGTAGCTGAAGAATAACTCTTTTCAATTAACCCGAGTTTGTTAAAATCGGCTCAGTCGTTTCGAAGATACAGGGTGTTCTTTACGGAAACCTTTGAATACCCCCCACCACTTCATTTTTAGAGATACAGGAAAAATTGTCAAACAAAAATTGTTCAGATTATCGTCAACTTCAAAGACCGGACATTTTTTGTTAGGTTAATATGGCGGAATTCACAGAAAAGTCACTTTTTTAGATTCCAGATTGCAGTTACGCCCCCTAGCGGCCATTGCAGAAACTTAAAAATATTTTCCAGGTTTTTCTCGTGGCCGTTTTAGTAATAAATGTTTTTACCGCAAGCCTCTACGATGGACAGGTTCTCAGATACAGTACCTCGCATTCTTATTTGGCCACCCTGTACATAACCGTGCCATGCCCGTTAAAAAATTAATGTTAAGTTTCAAATGGTGATGTTTATACAGCAACGCTTCACGGACGGAAAGTAGTTTTCAACGATATTTTTGCTCCGTGCACTGCCTAATAGTGCGTTGTGCGTACAACGTGATTAAAGAATTTCCGGAAGAGGCACTGTACAGTCCGGTTTTTTATAAACTCATCCAGAAACGCCCGGACCGGACACTGCCACGGAATGGACACGGCATGGTTATGTATAAATCGACCTTTATAAAAATTTTGATCTTGAGACTATCGTGCGAAGTTGGAGTGTCATGCGAAAAATTTGAATTGCCCATTGACGGGATGAGCACAAGATTTTAAATTAGCACAAAATTATAGCAAAAGAAAATTTTGAAAATATCGATGTTAACACTCAAGCGTGAATTAAGTTGGAGTGTCATCAGAAAAAGTTGAATCGCTCATTAAGCTGACCTGAGTAGCAGCACAAATTACCACAAAATGAGCACAAAATGATGAGATACTTGGAACTTAATTCATTTCAAGTCGACACTCCAACTTCACGGACCCATTCTGCTCCCAGTTACCGTTAAAGTAATAACTTCCTAAATAAACTCGTGAGTTTAGAAGGATTTTGAAGAATTCCGAGAGTCGTCTTGTGATTGATACTATAATTAGGAACTCTTCAGATACGATTTATTTTGGAGAATAAATAGTGAGAGAGTAACCCTTGTTTATCTAGTGTAGCACAGTCTTTGGTTTCGGGTCCTACAGCAAGTGAATTCCAGGTTTATTCTGCGCTTTGACACAATGCGAGCTGGAACCTTGCATCTTTGGAAAATGCGAATTGACGCCGACAAGTTACAAGTGTCACTGTAAGCCGGGTTATCTTGGTACCAACTGTGACCAAAAACAGCGTCCTTGTGAGGGAAATCCGTGCGAAAGTCGAGGTGTTTGCGTTGAGAAAGGCAACAGCTTCCACTGCCGGTGTCACGCTTGGTGGGAGGGTCCGCGATGCGAGCGTCGGATGATGCGCATTCCCTATAAACCTCTCAGTGAGCGCATGCTAGAGGAGCCGTTCTGGCTAGGACTCATCACCGTAACTGTAGTAATGGGAGTGATCGGACTGGTTTGGTGCGCAAAAAGGCACTTCCCCGAGAAAATCGAAAAATTACTAGCCGAAGACTCAGATCGCAATGGTAAAACTGGCGCATCGACTCGCCGAATTTCTAAAGTTATCTGTTGCAGTGCCCTCGCTGAGAACGTCGCTTCGCGAGCAATTAGCCGCATCGGGCGCGTCGGCGGTGACAGTAACCCCAAGTCCAGGTCCGGGAGTACCCCGCTCAATTTTTGGCCGCCTGGGTATCCGCAAGCCATCAATCCTCAGCCTCACCAGCCCACGCGCCAGCGGCTACTCACCTGCCACCGCCCGAACCTTTAGTTTGGACGATTTGCTAAAACCCCCGAGACGTAAGGCCGAGTGCCTTAGCTGTTGGTACCGACACTCTTCCATAACTCACATTTCTGTCTCTCTAACTGTTTCTTTGTATCCCTTCTCACTCTGTTGCGTGTGGCTGGTAGGTTGCACATCCTCTTTAGCGCTATTTGTGTGCACTTAACTTGCTTTAGTTTTAGATGCTTTCTTACGTGTCGCTAGTTTAATTTTAATTAGTATTTTTTACTAGGGACGCCGTCGCCTAGAAAAAGACGCAACAACTCAACGCCCACAAAGAAGAACGCTGCGGAAAAGAAACAAATTCTTCAACAACTGGTTACGCCTTCCGGTAACAAGCAAGTTTCAAAAAAAGTGAGCTTAGGTGAACTGATTCAGTTGACGGAACGTAAAGGTAAAGATGGCTGCGAAAGTAAACTAGACGTCTTGGGACCAATGAAAGAAACGAAATTACTAGTCGACTCCCCTTCAATTGTACTAAACGATCCCAAACTAGAGAAAAAGGTAACTTTCGCCCGACTCTTGAATAAAGTGTCAGCGGAGATGAGTTCAGGTTCTGAAATGGAATTGGGAATTATGCACGCTAACAGATTGGGGTGTGCTTTCGCTCGTCCGTCTAGCACGCCGCCTTCCCCGGCGGCCGATGCGCGTTCTCCGAACAGTACGTCTAGTAATCAAGGGAGCGATACGTTTTCAGGTTCAGATCTCGCGCTTCCTTCGGCTTTCAGTTGTAGCGTTTCCGATTTGATTAACAATAGGAAGCATTGCAAGTTGCCAAATGGGCGTCAGAAGCCGGCGAGTGCCGATTCGATTCTGGCGATGTTTAGGAACTTTTCGTCGAGCTCGGCTGGAATTAACCTGTCCAATTCGTTGAAGGTGTCGCCGTCTACGACACCGACGGCGTCGAGTCCTCAAGATGATATCGTCGGCGATGATGAGTCGTCGACTTCTTCAATTCACACCCCTATTTCGTTTGCGAGTAGTGGCGCACTTGAGAGTCCGGTGTTGAGTAGACAGTCACCGGGTACAATCGAAGTGCCTGTGCTTGACATGTTAAGTGCGCATAAGTCAACGAGCAGTGGCAGTAACCTACTGCACCCACCCACAATTCTATTAGAAATACCAAGCACAATCAACAAGTGCCTTTCGCCCATCCGAGAATTACCGACGCCTCTACCGTCACCGATGCCGTCGCCCGCTTTTACGCCAATCATGCATCGAAGTACTGCCTCCTCATCAATCAACGACATTAGCGTGGACACAAGCGACGATCGAATCTCCATCGAAATACCAAATATATCAATTAGTGACGATGACGAAGTGATGCACTGCGTTCAAGATATAGCAATCGACCCACACGCCGAAGACGGGCTGATTATGGAGGAGGCGGCCGTTTTGCAACAATCCACTCAGCCTCAATTCAAAGTCAAGGTCGGTGTTCTGCCCCTAGTACTAGCGGTATACCAAAAGATACTGCATTTTCTTATACCAAGGTGCCACTTGGTACAGGTGTTCCTTAGAGCCATTTGGCCCGAAGAACACTTGACATTTTCCGTGTGGGTAGATTTTAGAGGGGGTGGGGGTGATTTATTGTAACATTTTTTTAAAAACTATCTATGGCCTAGAGACGAGGTCTGGGTGTCGATTCCGTATGATTTTAACCCGAGGAATCCAATGGTAGCGCCAGAAATGTAGTCCGGATACCGGAAGTCCGTGAAAAGCCGCCATTTTTAGAAAATGACAGACTTTTGATCGAATTATATTTCTAAGGCACACCGGGTCGTGTAAGGTGTCTAGAGTTATGTTTTTGGGGTCAGGGAATTCATTTATGATAACAAAAATAACCTACTGGCATCGGAACTGCATGAGAGGCTTCCCTACTGCACTTTTTTTAGACGTCGCACGCGGTGAAACCCAAGATATTCCAAAGTTTTAATAATTTGTTATATTTTATTTAATAAAAATACAAATTAACAAAACATAAAATATATTAAAACATGGGGTAAAACATTTAAAAGCCTATGAAGGATCACCAAGTACATCGCTGACCTCCTCTGAGATTGTGTTATCACCACTGAAAAGGAATTTCACATACCGGGTGAATATTTTAAAAGCGAACGTAGGAAATTAACATGCGAAAAACGTTTTTTGCCGATCGTTGCTCCCCATGGTAACTTAGAGGGTTTGTAGTGACACCAATCAATACGAATTAGCTTTAGTCCAGGCTATACACGGTGTCCATTTTTCGAGTGCCACTATGGGGATCTCACTTATCTTAAGAGATAGAAAGTTGGTTAAATGGGGGCAAACAAAAGAACGTTTTGTTTTTCCAAAGCACTCTTCTCAAAAAACTAAAAATTGTATTTTTAGGAAAAATGTGTTACTGAACCACCATGTGTGATATATCGTTGTAAAGAGAAAAAAAGACGTAATCCCAAAATGTCAAGATTCAATATGACGCCCATAAGAAAAACTAAAGTTGCCACGTGTTTCTCCGTCATCTTGAAAGTTATTAAAAACAAAATGCCATATTTGAAATCCCCATTAAAAAGTGTCCGAATAATGTGTTAATTAGAAATGTCTACTACGATTAGTTTATCACAAAAAAATTAAAAACAAAAATCAAAAATTTTCGTTTTTTTTTGCGATATCTTCAAAACTATTCAAGATATTTCAAATTTCTTTTCAGATTCTTATTCAGCACGAAAATTTGCAACTTTGCCCCCATTTAACCAACTTGCTATCTCTTAAGATAAGTGAGATCCCCATAGTGGCACTCGAAAAATGGACACCGTGTATAATATTTTTGTATGAAAAAAATTAGTTACCGGGCGAAACCGGGTTTTTCAGGCAGGTGGAATGAAAGGAATTTGGGAAAAAATAATTAAAACAGCTGAATTTTTCCGCGGTTGAAATGACGGGGGTTGAAAGGGGTGGAAAGTGGTATTTTGCAAATTGTGGTAAAACTATTGATTTTAGACGAAAATGTTAAAGATAAAAGTTATAGAGATTAAAAAAATTAGCAACTTTTGTATCTGCACTATTTTCACATAACCTCCAATTTTCCTAGAAAAACCGGAAAAACTGTTTTTTCTTCGTTTTTTATTCTTATTTTTGCGAAAAAATGTAGGGGTTTGAAATTTGGAGGTAACTTAGCCTGTTTTATGATAAAACAGAAGATAATTGTTTGGGCCCATAAAGTTGAACCGTTTCCAAGATCTCACGATTTCTGGAAAAAAAACACCTCTTTTTCAAGAGGATGAAAAATCTATTTTTTTCACCGTACACAGGTGCGCGAGGTAGCAAAATTTTCGGGAAGACTTATATTTTAATAAACAAAAATAAAAAAATATTGTTCCTATAGCAAAAATTCGAGAAAATCGCCAAAAACCGGAAAAAACAGTTTTAAGATATACACGGTTTTTGACATGATAAATCAACATGTTGTATGTTAATAAAGATTTTTTCGAAATCTGTCTTCTTCCTTCTTTTTAATGTTTGCATAAATATTCACTTTTGTTATCTTATGCTCAACTGTTTTAGTTAAAACGTCTTTATTATTTCTTTTTTCTGCATTTTTACCGCAATAAAAGCAATTCGAAATAAAATCGAATTATGTATCTTGCTTCCTGATTCTTGAACAATTTATTTTTGTTCACCGACTCTTCTTCCTGCTTGTTTTATAGCTGATGCAATTGCGTTGGGCCTGTTGATAAACTTGCAAAATCTGCAATAAGAACGTTGGTTTTACCGGCCAAAAGCAAATGATTTGAGATGTCAAATCTGCAGGAATGAACTTTATGAGGATTTTATTCATAATTCCTGTAAATAAACGATCAACAGGCCCAGCTTAATCCCATCAGCTGTAAAACAGGCAGGAAGAGAGAAAGTGAACAAAAACATATTGTTCAGGAAGCAAAAGAATTCGATTTTACTTTGAATTGCTTTTATTGCAGTAAAAATGCGCAGAAAAAAGTAATAATAAAGATGTTTTAATTAAGGCAGTTGGGCACTGGGAAACAAAAGAAAATATTTTAGCAACATTAAAGAGGGGAGAGAAGACTGCTTTCCAAAACTTTTTATTAGCGCGGATCCAACATGTTAATTTATTTGCAAAAAAGCCTATTTACCTACTGTCAAAAACGGTGTACCTTAAAACTGTTCCCCCCGTTTTTGCCGCTTTTCTTGAAATTTTTCCATTGGAAAAATGTTTTTTATTTTTGATTATCAAAATGTAAGTCGTTACGAAAATTAAGCTACCCTGCGCACCTCTGTACGATGAAAAAAAATAGATTTTTCATCCCCTTGAAGAAGAGGTGATTTTTTACAAAAATCGTGAGATCTTGGAAACGGTTCAACTTTATGGGCCCAAACAATTATCTTCTGTTTTATCATAAAACAGGCTATGTTACCTCCAAATTTCAAACCCCTACGACATTTTTTCGCAAAAATAAGAATAAAAAAACGAAAAAAACAGTTTTTCGGGTTTTTCCAGGAAAATTGGAGGTTATGTGAAAATAGTGCAGATACAAAAGTTGCTCATTTTTTTAATCTCTATATAACTTTTACATTTAACATTTTCGTCTAAAATCAATAGTTTTGCCACAATTTGCAAAATACCACTTTCCACCCCTTTCAACCCCCGTCATTTCAACCGCGGAAAAATTCAGCTGTTTTAATTATTTTTTCATTTGACGATCAAGTATGAAGCGTTGGATATACTGTTTAAATTTTATAGAGTTTAGTTTTTTGCAGGAGTGTGGCAATGCGTTATATAGCTTGGCAATGCTATAACTGAAAGATCGTTCGAAGATGGAGGTTTTGTGTAAAGGTGGTAAGAAATCTAGGATTGGAACTGAATCTGATTTTATCGTAAAGATAAGTTGGTGTTTTTTCGATGACTATTTTATGGTATAAAGTTGCTGCATGCGTAAGTCTCCTATTTTCCATGTTTAGCTATTTTATTTCGGTTAATTTTTATACTTCTTTACACCATAAATCAATCTAAGGCACGAATTTTGGATTTTTTAATTCTATATTTGTCAGCTGCATCCAAACAAGGACCATAGAGAGTATCACAATAATTAAACTGTGAGAGGACAAGCGATTCACACAATATGATTTTTAGATGTTGGCCTAACCTATAGCGATGATTAAATATCAATTTTAAGTTCATAAATGCTTTTTTGATCATTATTGATACTTGTTCTTTGAAACGCAGGTGAGAATCCATTATCACTCCAAGGTTCCTTATTTTATGTTGAACACATAACGTAGAGTCTTTTACCCGAATTTTTATCGCATATTTTTGCCGTTCTGTAACTTTAGCTCTCCCGAATAGCATTACCGACGATTTGGAAGCATGAATGTACAATCCATGTGTTTCCGATACTCCCACCAATTTATAGTCTACAGCTTGTGTTACATTGCACTCATGAAACTGATAATATAGCTGGGTATCGTCTGCATATTGGTGAAACTTTACATGCTCCAGGCACTTGTGGAAATTTGAGGTGTATAGAATGAAAAGCAAGGGACCTAATATGGAACCTTGTGGCACTCCACTGCATAAAGGATTAAAACTTTGGAATATCGTGGGTTTCACCGCGTGCGACGTCTTCAAAAAGTGCAGTAGGGAAGTTTCTCATGCAGTTCCGATACCAGTATGTTATTTTTGTTATCATAAATGAATTCCCTGACCCCAAAAACATAAGTCTAGACACCTTACACGACCCGGTGTGCCTTAAAAATATAATTCGAACAAAAGTCTGTCATTTTCTAAAAATGGCGGCTTTTCACGGACTTCCGGTATCCGGATTACATTTCTAAAATCTACCCACACGGAAAATATCAAGTGTTCTTCGGGTCAAATCGTTAAATGGCTCTAAGGAACAACTGTACCAAGTGGCACCTTGGTATAACAAAATGCAGTATCTTTCAAGAATTTCCGTTCTACCGCTATAGTCCAGTAAAAGTAGACATTGACCCAGAAATTTGAACAAACAAGCTGAAAATTGGCATACTTGGTGAGGATGGTGCTAAAACTAAATCCTCAAAAGTCCCAAAAATCCCCGTTGGGGAACGGACGCCATCTTGAAAAAACTACCCCTAAATTTGATTTTCCGATTTTTGAGCATAGAAATGAACGGATGGTCCAAATTTCGTCGTCAAGGTGTCAAAATGGTTGTTTTGATGTTTGTTTTGAGTGAAATAATTATTTCGTATAATACGATGCCCTTGCAATTGTGACCTTTTAAAAAAAAAACACCCCCATCATGGGTTTCTCTCTTTTCCGGCTATTGTTGTTAAATAAAGCTTCGGATAATTAGTATTGATGTATCTAATCGTTCTTCTTGACGTTCTCTATCTGAATGTCAAAATTTCTGGTAAAAAAACCTTCAGAGTTCAGAACAAGATTGAGAGTACCTACTAACTAAATGAACACTATTTTATTCATTATATTTTTCATTATTATTTGCAGTCAGGTTAAGTTGCACGTAAAAAATATTTAAATGCATTTTACAATTAATGTAAATAATCGGAATCCTTTCAACTATTCGCACATAATTGCGCAATTGGGGTTATTGGGCAATAAAGGCATTTATTATTATTATTATTATTATTATAATAAAAAAACGGCGTGAAAATAATCAATCCATACACAGGTTTTAAACTGGAAACATTCTGAGACCGAACGACAATACAATGGCGAAAATCTATGAGTAAAAATCAGACACCGATCTACTCTTACAAAAGTAACCGTTACACCTGAACGCACGGTATCGAAACGTGATATAAATTTGGGTGTTTCGTTACTAAGAAACCGTAGCTTCCAGATTTATTTATTTCTTTTAGGAATTGGAAACAGAAAGTGATTTAATTTCTAGCGCCCCTTTAGCTGCCGATGAGGAAACCAGTTTCCGTATTACATAAATGAACACTTTCTAAGATAGCCGTTCCTTTTGCTATGTAGGTAGTAAGGCTACACAAGATAATCGTTGCAAGGAAGATATAAAATCCAGGATAGCGCAGGCTAAAAAAGCATTGGAATAAAAGTGGGACCTGCTAAGATCCGAGATAAATATAGGAATTAGGAAAAGATTGCTAAAAACGTACAAATGGAGTGTAGGTCATACAGGTGCGAAACCTGGACGATAGGCAGGCAAAAGTAGGATAGAATGAGGATTAGCTGGATGGACAGGGTAACAAACGAAGCAGTCTTGGAGCTAGTACAGGAAATAGGGAAATGTTGAAAACCGTACAGAGAAGACGAGATACAATGATAGCGAACGTGCTAAGACACGGAGGAATAGCACTACTAGCTATAGAAGGTAGGGCAGAGGGCAAGATAGGGGTAGGACCACAGAGACTTAAACACATAGACCAAATAGTTAGGGACGTAGGCAAGGGTAGTTATGTAGAACTGAAAAGATTACCGCAGGATAGGAAAGGTGGAAGACTTCGTCCAACCAATCCTAGGATTGCGCAAACAAAACAACAAATGCCGAAAACGTGAAAAATCCAGGTTGGGGGTGATTTTTCTAAAAAGTTCGAATTTCCAAGGGCTTCTTTATGTGCCGAATTATGTTTTTACTCCAAATACACATTAAAACCGAGATTAAAACAAACATTTTGACACCTTAGCAACGAGAATCAGGCCATTGGTTCATTAGTTTTGCTCAAAACTCGAGAAATCGAGTTTAGGGGTAGCTTTTTCAAGATGGCGTCCGTTCCCCAACCGGGATCTTTTGGGACTTTTCGGAAATTGATTCTGGCACTATCCTGAATATGTCCACCAATTTTCAGCTTTTGTTTCAAATTTCCGGGTTTGGCCCTTATTTTGTCTAATTTGACTGGACTACTAGTACTACCCGTATTTCGAAATTATATCCATTGGTGTGTTACAGATTCGCCCACCTTCTTTGGGATGCCTATCGGAAGTTTCGTGTTCTCGACCGGCCCCGCTAGTTATACCGACATTAACAATTCAAACGCCCTCCCCAACTCGTCAAAAAACGCCTCCACACCTTTTGGGCTCTCCTCCTCCTCACAGATCCGATTACCAACCCGAAACGAATTTTCCATTCAACGCTAAGCAGACACGCAAGATGCTAAAGGAGTTTGATAAGCCAACATCTCTAGATTTACCATCGAACCCCCCGATGATAACGATAACGTGCAATATGAGCGAGGCGGAGTCCGACGTCGAGTCGATCTCTCCAGCGCCGAAGAACGCAGATCACCTCGGCGCATCGACCGGCGGAATGTGCTACCTGAGTCCGTTCACCATGGGCTCTCGCGGCGACCGTACCGCATCCGAATCGAATTTGAGCTCGTCTGGTTACAGCTCGATGGCGAGTCCCGGCCCCTCACGTTGCGGATCGAGCAATCCGCTGTGTCCATCCGAAATGGAAGACCCGGGCCCGCCCGGTCCCGGCTCTACAAGCTTGCACCCCTCGCTAAACCGAAGACCTTCGCCATTACTAAAGTCGAGCTGCAATACGAGCGAGCATAGCAAAATGGAAAATCGCGATAATCAGGGTGGAAGGGGACGATCCGATTCGGAAACGCTTTCCGACGACCCGCTGATCGAATCAAACGACGAAGGTATCGGAACGGATCACTTAGACGAAAAGATCGAAGACGGCGAGCTAAAGAGCGCGAAGGAGCTCGAAGTGTTCATAACGACTGAATGTGATAACTCAAAAACTTTAATAGACTTACCGTCAATTACTAATTTAAGTCCGCGCGTTGCAAAATGCGCAAGCTTAGAAGCCAACATTGACCATTTACTGCCTCCGCCGAGCACGTGTAAGTCAACCTTACAGTTACCTTCCATTGTAGTGCAAAACGACCCTAGCACATTCGATAAATATTTGAGCCCGATGAGCTCACGTAGTGAAAGTCCCTTAAGCGATAAAACCCTAGGCTTAGATAGATTTTCCCCACAATTTTACGGTAGAAATAAAGATGTCCTTCCCTTCACCGATTCAGATGGATTATACGACTTCCCGAGCACGGATAAAATGAACATCTCATCGACGTCACATCAGCACAGAAAATCGACGGGGCGAAGAAGAGAGAAGAGATCGTCGAGGCAAATGAAGACCCTAAGCCCTTCTAAAGTAGTTGTTCCTAATTTAGCTCACTATCATTTGGATGTTCCAGGACATAAAATTAACACTCCTCGTAAACCAAGCCCAAAAAGGCGTGTACGCACACAACCATTCAGTTCGTCGTCTAGCTCTGATAGCATTACCTCCACCAGAGATGTTAGATATTCGTCGTCCACCCCCAGCCCGGATACCATCAGATGGTCGTCGTCGACCGACTGGCTCAACAATAAGGACCACAGATCTCCCGAGGCTTCTGGAGAGGACACAGGAGATGTAAGCTAACTCACTTAATTCTTCCCGATTTATTCTTATTTTTAATCTTAGTTTGGTTACAGTTTTTGCAGGCGACGACGGGAGGAATTTAGTTGTAAAGTAAATTATCATTTGCTAGCGGTCATTACACACGTTGTTGTAACTTTCACCTTTTAGAAGCACCTCCCGTTTAGTCACTTTGTTAGGGCTTTCAAATATTGTACGTAACCGCGCGTGTTTTTGTAGGACGTGGACGCCGCGACCCACCCGAAGTCATTGGAAGATCTTCCTAAACCGCACAAAATCAGTCGGCTTAGAGTGATCAGTAACCAAATAAGGTAACTAAGCTGTACATTGTATTCCCATCTCTTCGTTGACCCACACAACACAGTCCTTACATTGAACGTTCATATTTGATCCATTTTAAGTTGTGTATAGTGTGAATAGTCAGGGGCGTTCGGAAGCGTTGAAGATTTCTCGAGAAAGAGGGCACTTTTGCTATATAAGCAAATCGAATTACGTTTCAGGCAGTTCCAATTTCGACGCCGATGTAATAGTAAGTGATAAATAATGTTACAACTGTTAAAAATCCAAGACTGTCTTAATTTATTGTTAACTAATTGTAAATAAATAAGACACGTAATTAAATTTGGGTTACAGTACGATGTTACCTAATCATCAAGGCCTTTCTGTTCACATCTAAGCTTAAAACTCAATTCGTTTAAATTGTACTTTTGTTCCCAAGTTTGGCGTTTGTCTTTGGTTGCGAATTGAGCAGCTACTTTACATCTGAATATGCAATGAAGGAAGAGATGGGAATACAATTTATATTATGGAAGAGCTTCCTTAAGTTTAATCAAATAATTTTAGATTCCTCCGCAGGCTGGAGATTAGTCTGAAGAAAAGGGAGCGAGTGGTAGTGAGCCCCTGCGAAAGTTTGGACAGTGACGAGGATTCTCCGAGGGCGACGTCACCTCTTCTGCAACCCAGCAATGAAAAACGACCAGAAATTAGAAAAAGTAATAGCATAGGAATATTACAGTCGAATTTTAGCAACGCAACCGTTAGAAATAAGCGAGGCAATTACAAGAAAGGGGAATTGCTGCTTCCCGACGAGGAGAGCAGTTGGAAACATGTAGTTACTACATCTGGCAACGGATACTCAGATTAATAAATTAAAAGTAAATAATTAATAAATAGTAATATATTCTAAACAACGAACAATCATTAACGTAATTTTTTAAAAGGAAACATGCATAGTTTACCCATATGAGGAGCGCAGAGTATTTATTAAACTGACATCTTCATATGGGGCGTATTTTTATGCTTTCTCAATTAATAAATATATTTGTAATAAAAATTGAGCCTTAACATTTAAGCTTAATTGTAAATAATTACGATGCTCAAATTTATTTTAATGTTATATGTCAAACTCGATGCAAAAGATGAATAATTTTTATAAGTATTATTAAAGAAGGCCTATATGTATTCATAACTTTGTCAATATTGAGAACAGGGCCATTTTATGGCAATTAATTGTTACAAGCGGCATCGTCAAAGTGTCCACCTGATGGAGAGGACAAAAATTAATTATAAGGGCCTGATCATGAGACTGATTTTTTTTACAAAGTTCAGTAATTAATTGTTATACACACGTTTCTGTATTAATGCACTTTTAATGTCTATCGTAAAAATGATCGTTTTACTCTTTCGCCGTTTCGAAGTCGTACCTACTATGTATTTATAACTATACGGGTATCGTTATTGTTGGTACCACTGTGATAGCACAGACCGCTCTGTGACTTCGGTATAGCAATTAATGTCTAGCAATACTGGAGGGAACAAGGGGTCACTTAAAACAGCACAACTAAAAAGCAATTGTTCTTAGCCTAAAGCACACAACGTAATATTCGTAAGCGTAACGTATAAGTACTTAATACCTACTTGAACATAATATATATTGTTAATAAATACTTCTTACATATACCTACTAGTGCTCAGTCTTTCACTTCTTATTCCAATATGTCTCATTTGCTGTTGTGATCAATAATTAAATAAAATGCTTGTTTATTCTTAGCTTTATGATTTCGTAATTCAATATCCCTGATCGTCTAAACGGGCTTTAGGAAAATCTTGTTGATTTAATCGGCCTAATGTATTCTACAGGCCATGTTCTATAAGAAATTTTTTTCCCGGGTCGATCTGAGACAATTTTTTCTTCGGGGCTCAAAAAAAGGCAGTGTTTTACCTTCCTTTTTTACCAAAAATCTACTGCACCAAAATTTCTCGGGAAAACACTTTTTCTTATTAATTTGAGTGCGTAGAATCCAAATCAATATGCGCTTTTTCGATCAGACTTTTCAATCAAAAGTTATAGAAAAAAATTCAAAGGGCTGTAATAACTTTTGAACTAGTAGCCCAATCTTGGAACTGTTTGAAATTATGGATTCTACAGGCCACATTCTATAAGAAAATGTTTTTTCCGGGTCGATCTGAGGCAATTTTTTTTTGGGCCCCAAAAAAAGGCAGTGTTTAACCTTCCTTTTTTTTCAAAAATCGACTACACCCAAACTTCTCCGGAAAACACTTTTTCTTATTAATTTTGGTGCGTAGAATCCAAAACAATTCGTACTTTTTCGATCAGACTTCTCAATCAAAAGTTATAGACTAGAAACCAATTTCGAAAGAAAATTCAAAGGGCTGTAACTTTTGAACTAGTAGCCCAATCTTGGAACTGTTTGAAATTATGGATTCTACAGGCCACATTCTATAAGAA